TACTTGGAATCAAGACTGAATTTCTTCAATGAGTCCATGGAGCCCTTTCACCACTGCCAGTGGTTATAGAATCGTAACCTTTCGCCTCACATGTCAGGTAACCTCTCACATTCTTATAGCATTGAGAAGTGGGCTGTCGTCATTTCACCTGACGGAACCTCACATGAGGGCCTCGGGGTAGATCATCTCTCCTGACCGAGCTTTACTACGGGCCAGAGTGTTTGTCACTACTGCATCGCGTCGCGCATGGACTTGCGCAGTGACATGTTCTAAAGCACGCAAAGTGTTGTATAGATTTTGGAGTGCCAATCCCTGCACTGTAAAGGGTGCGCCAAAATTCTTGGCCCATGTATGTTTACTGTTTACTGCCAACCGGCTCAGCCTAGATATTGTATTCTTGGGTCTGTATTATCTTACTTGGTCAAGAGGTGTTAATTTGTGCGTGATTTATCTTTCCTTAAACGAAGTCTTATATTTCTGTGTTGCGGCACGACGCGGTCAGAGTTTGCAGGTTTCCCAATTTATATCTTTTGAAAACCCCTTCTTGCGAATAAAGATTGTACAATGCAATAAAGCTAGTCTTCAACTTTACCATTACAAAGCAGTGGAGTGTTTAATTTCAAGACGCGAATTCTGACTGTGTATTCATGAGCATGTCCTTTTACTTCACGACTTTGCTCCAATCAGTCCTTACATTCAAAGAGAGTTTCAAAATCTCAAAACTTCTTCTCGTATAATATGCTGGAGGCATTCTGTGACATGATCACGGTCGAATTCCTCATTCACTGCTCTGAAAAATCTGGTTCCAATGATCTTGGAGCAGCCTGTAGCTATGATAATAGAAATTTTCTCAAACATTATAACTTTCTTCCATCAGAGGTTTTGCATAACACATCTACAACACTGATGGCCTCCTGCTTATTTTGTTAAAGCATTGCATTGCTTGGAGTCTGCAGTGCAAAACATCAACTCGCCTTTGGCCTGAGTCTCAAAACACGTCCAAAGTCCATGCGAGCGACTTTTTTTGCACATATTTTGTTCGATTGTTTATAGATTTTATGTTGACAGACAAACTGCGTGCGCCTTTCTTCCATAACGGTTATCTTCGTCAAACAAAACCACTGAGAGCAGAAAAGGAATAACATAGTACTCAGTGATGATAAGCGTTAAATGTAGCTGTTTTCGACAAACATTCTCTGGTGAATTGCCAAAGATCGCCGGACGAGCAAGGTATAGTAAAGCAGGGAGAAACGCTTTGGTTCAGCATCAAAAGCAAAGAATTGCTTTTGTTTGAAGTGCCTTTTCGAATGATATGTACTGAGCCATAGAATATTGATTTCAAATTTACTTCCATACTTCTAAAGCTCATAGTCCGGGCATTCGCTGAAATATTCCTCGTTGATTTTACTTAATTCTTAAATTAGAGACAACACAAAAACAAACATGGAGACTTCTGTCAAGAAGAAGGCTCTGTATGAGCGGGACACATGCGAGGATAAAAAAAAATTAGAGACAATTGGGATCGATATTACGTGTATGCAACCTGAGAATCCATGTTCAGGGAAAAATTCAAAATGATAAAGAGTTATAGGATTCTTAACTTACATAAGTTTCGTTGGGAGCAACCATTTCGAGTCAAATATCACCTCTTGTGAGTGTCTGGTTTTGTACTAATTGAGCTGACAGGTACTCAGCTCTATCCTGCAGAAGCAATAACTATGTCTGATTATTCAAACATATTCTCTATCAGGGCTTAAAAATTGGACTAGGATTCAGACGCCAATAACAACTGCCTTGAAGATGAAAAGTTATCGCTCATATTGAGTTGGCTAAAAAATGATTTTGTTTTTTCATGTCTCCATAGAAGCTTTTTTATTGTTTTCAACCTTAATTCACTGAGGAAGAGTTCAAGCTTCTACTATCCATATCACTTACTCAGAATTTTCTACCAGTTTTTACCTGTTGCTCCAGTATTGCTAAATTTCCGCAGGCTCATTTCTCTGATTTTCTAGACTTCGTTTTCATGCTGTTGTGAAGAGTGTGATGTGGTATTTAGGTGTATACAGCCGACTTTCTCTATTTCACAAATAACAATAAATACTATAATATGCCTTTAATCTTCTTTTATTGGAAAAACGGAATTTTCTCAGATTTGAAAATAATTGGGGTTTCGCACTTCTTTGCGCCTTTCTATTGTATGGAAATAAATTCAAACAGTGTACATATTCCTATTCTGACTGAAATGCTCCTTCCAGAGATAACCGCACAAAAATTTCTGTGCAGCATTTGTAGAAGCCCTAAAAGCGAACGAAATGGTCATTCGAATGTTTCCTTGCTGTCATTTCAGATTTCTTCACTGTCATTTAAGTTCTTGCTTCCAGTCCTACGGCATTATGTAGCTGTAACATAGCATAAAACCAAGCATGCCTCATGGTTATTAAGGAAGATAAAAATTTCTATCTAAAAGCGTAAATCATGCTTAGAAAAACTTGGGTGCGACTTATTAATAGTTTTCGATTGCGATTTGTAGGACTCTCAGAGAAGTCATGACTACTTTTTCTAACTATGCGGTGAAGGGAGAAAGAAGGTAACCTGCTAGATTATTTACTCAAATTCGATTGTCATCCACCGGTTCTTCCGCAAATTCAGCTTTTTAGGTAATGGTCATTCTTAGAGCGAGTAAGAAGTTTTCGTACGAGAAAATCTTGTCGCTTTCCATGCGATAGAAACAGCGTCTGCGAATCTTGAGATTTGTGTGTATCTTTTCGTGATTGACTTCATAAAATAAATTCTTGGCGTCTTTGCGAGTGAAATACCGACGGCAATCTCTTTTTTCTGTCAGAGGTATCATCGTATTACAAGAAGGAATTTTGGAATATTTTGAACTTTGGAATCTTTAGAAGCAACGCTAAATGAGATATATTCAAGCAGAATAGCTAGAATCTCTTATTTATGGTAGATCCACATTTATTTACTGCACTCGCTGACACCCTGCTCAAAAAACTTTCCCAACAGATACATACAGTGACCGCCAAAAAGTTGCGGACAAGCCTCCCTCCCTTTTTCATCGCTCTTTTTCAGAAGGAAAGCAAGGATAAAAAAATGTAGTGATTGCATGAGGTGGTAGAGCTCTTCAAGATCTACAATCTGCACTTTGCGTTTTTCGAAAAACATGTATTCTAAAAATTTCAAAAAACTTTTTCTAAATAAAGTCCGAAAATGGCCGCGTCACAATGTCGCGGACAATAATTCTTCGAACGTAAAAATTTTCTTTTGAGTCTTATTCTGAGACTGAAACACAAGTAATCCAAATGGGTAAGCATACTACTATACAGAGCTCGTCAAGAACTACACACTGGTTATGGTTGCTTCCCAAAAAACACAAGCTTGAGTTTTATTTTGCTTTTTTTCAAAAATAACTTCTAATTCTCCTTTTAAAGCCAAGTTTCTTCACATGGAAACTTATTCACGACATTCCAACAACGCTGTTTGAATAAAGTAGATGCTCTTTACCATTCTCCATGCATCTGACTTGTGCTGATGAGTTTCTTTGCTGAAAATGGCTCTTGGCAGTGCTTGCACATGACCCCACCTGCACCTCACCACTGACTTGTACCGCTTTGCAGGCTTGTAACTCGGCTTGTAGTCAATGTGTGAGCCTGCAATTAGGCTCATTCGAAAGAACGAGACTTCCTCTACACGATGGTTTGTAAAAGAGATGGGCATAAGAAACAGCGGAGATTTGGCGGATGGGGTGAAAAAACGCGGCCTCAGTGGTGGTTGGAGTGAAGGCTCTTATCAACATCAAAACAGTTCTAGAGCTTCAAAATGGATCTATTACAAGAACATTGACAGTTTCAAGCTTACAGGATTGAACTGGTAGCGAAAGAAGCTCTATTCAACTTTAGCTGGATATCCTCACCTTAGCACTGAGGCCGCGTTTTTCCACCCCATCCGCCAAATCTCCGCTGTTTCTTATGCCCATCTCTTTTACAAACCATCGTGTAGAGGAAGTCTCGTTCTTTCGAATGAGCCTAATTGCAGGCTCACACATTGACTACAAGCCGAGTTACAAGCCTGCAAAGCGGTACAAGTCAGTGGTGAGGTGCAGGTGGGGTCATGTGCAAGCACTGCCAAGAGCCATTTTCAGCAAAGAAACTCATCAGCACAAGTCAGATGCATGGAGAATGGTAAAGAGCATCTACTTTATTCAAACAGCGTTGTTGGAATGTCGTGAATAAGTTTCCATGTGAAGAAACTTGGCTTTAAAAGGAGAATTAGAAGTTATTTTTGAAAAAAAGCAAAATAAAACTCAAGCTTGTGTTTTTTGGGAAGCAACCATAACCAGTGTGTAGTTCTTGACGAGCTCTGTATAGTAGTATGCTTACCCATTTGGATTACTTGTGTTTCAGTCTCAGAATAAGACTCAAAAGAAAATTTTTGCGTTCGAAGAATTATTGTCCGCGACATTGTGACGCGGCCATTTTCGGACTTTATTTAGAAAAAGTTTTTTGAAATTTTTAGAATACATGTTTTTCGAAAAACGCAAAGTGCAGATTGTAGATCTTGAAGAGCTCTACCACCTCATGCAATCACTACATCTTTTTATCCTTGTTTTGCTTCTAAAATAAAGCGATGAAAAAGGGAGGGAGGCTTGTCCGCAACTTTTTGGCGGTCACTGTATATTTGCCCTAGACAGAGGAATAACATATTCCAACTAGCTGCTTGTGACAAAAAGTTTGTTGTGCTCGTTCGCCTTGATTAATACTCGCACTTCCAGAAGAAGTGAGCAATTGCATGGCGTTTTTATGCCTTTAGAACAATTTATGATGCGTAAACACGATATTCAAATAGTATGACTGCAAACAAATTGAAAATAATCTTGAATAATTCTTTTGACTCTCTGAGGAGATATTTGGAGAATTTTTCTACTAGTCCTATTTTATGTTGAATTTCTTACGTTTTCGATGTTCTCTCTTTTCCCATGTATTTCACAAGACTAGTAGGCACATTTAAGCAATTATGTTGGCAATAAACAACAACTCAAATTATCAGACAAAATCAACACAGAGTACAATAAAACCATGTGGGTCCTACTGCGAACAGAAACATTGTTCAGTCAGTGTAGAATGGATATTTAGGCGCATACATCTTCTCTCCATATTGTGCACATTCTTTTTCATCGGAAATGTCGACTGCGCCAAAAAATGACTCCCTGGAAAGGAAAATTAGTTGTATGGAAAAGTTTCAAAGCATCGTTTCATGTTACAATTATTGCAAAATTAGCATAATAGTAAGTTACAAAACTTTCAAGATTTTTGAAAAAACTACTCATTTTTTAACTTGAAGAGAATGAGAGAAAATTTTTTATAAACTGCGAACATATTTTTAAGCAATTCTCTCTATTTGTGATGATTTTATGTTTTTTTCATTTTGATCAATGTTAGATTTGATCTTTCTATACTCAAAGGTATATTAGAGAGATATTCGCTGGTGAATTCCAATTTGAAGGAAAAAAGTGCGATTCTTAGTAAAAAACGCTCATTAGGCAATTTACGAATTCTTGAACAAAAAATACTTGCAGAATTTCACAACTTCCAAGTACGAAGAGGTTAGTGAAAATAAATATGTGAATGGGGTGCTTACCGATAGTAAGGACTTGGCATTGTAGGATAAAGCTCGGATAATATTGAACTTGGCATTCGAACTCGCTTCCGTGACGATAACAACGCTTCCATTTCACTACTTAATTGTTCGCATTGTTCACCGCTAACAGTCAGACCCGATTCATCAGTAATTGTCACCTGAAATTACCAGAAATAAATTTCTGAATTTTTTACGCCAATTTTAAAATGTGGTGCCCACCTGTACACAGCTATCACTGGTTGGTGATGATGCTTTCTTTGGCGGAGAATCACGTAGATTACTTTTACCATTTCTTGTTTTTGTATGATTTACCAATTCAATCAATTGAGGTATTGATCCTATCACTACCGGACACGATACTGTCAATGTTTGGTCGATCTGAAAACAAGACTTTTTTTCAAGGACGCGTGATGCTTGGTTCTTGGAAGTAAAATTTTCAATCTGCAGATACAAAGCATTTTTCTCTGGCACCTTTCAGATTTTCGCCGGCTCAGCCGTCAAGGTAAGTTGTACAAAAATAAAGTCTCTGAAAAGTAATTTCTTCACCCACAACCCAAAGTATAGCCCCAAAGAGAAACTTTAGAAAATTTTGAATATCTTTTACATTTTCTTTAGAGAAAAATCGTAATGATTTTGAGTCTTCTTGATTTCCCCAAGACGGCCTACTACCACCCGCCGAGGGTACAAAATGGAACTTACAATTAGGGTAACGAATATATATTAGGTTGAACCGAAAGTTCTTTCCCCCCATTTTCAAAAATTCATAACTTCCGATTTTTTCAACCAATTTGGCTGCATCTATTTTTGTGTGAAAGAGTAACTCATGCTCTTCATAATGACTTCTCAGCTGCTTAGTAATGGTCATCTGTTGCATAGATAGGAGCGATAGAAGAAAATTAGTCAAAATTTGAATTTTCTCTGTAGGGTCATAAAAAATCGGAAACTTGCAAGAAAAATCGGAGCAATCAGTATTATAAGTTCTGTTACCTGCTCTTTCTGATTGTGCAAAGTTTACGCCGATTGAGCGTTTCTATGAAAAGTTACGATTTTCGAGCAAGCAATACAAAAGGGCGAATTTGATTTATTTTGGCATTTTTCAGGGAAATCATAACTTTTCATAGAGACGCTCATCCGGCGCAAACTTTGCACTCTTAGAAAGAGCTGGTAAAAGAGCCTACAATACTGACTGCTCCGATTTTTCTTGCAAGTCTTTGATTTTTTATGACCCTACAGAGAAAATTCAAATTTTGACTAATTTTCTTCTATCGCTCCTATCTATGCAACAGATGATCACTAGCAAGCAGCTAAGATGTCCTTATGAAGAGCATGAGTTACTCTTTCACACAAAAATAGATGCAGCCAAATTGGTTGAAAAAATCAGAAGTTATGAATTTTTGAAAATGAGGGGAAAGAACTTTCGGTTCAACCTAATATATATATATAGACCAGTGCGTCACCTCCGCTTCGAGGAGGTTCGCACTGGCTCTGTTATCCGTATGCCTTATTCATGCTCCCAAAATGATGACTTTGAAACTCACCGCGCAAGGCTGTACATCATAAATGAATCGTAAACAACTGTTCATTCTTGAAGCATCTCCATGTAAGATCGGTAATTTTGAGAAAGAAAACTTTTTTGCCAAGGAATAAATATGAATTCGAACAGATTATTGAACTTACTTTGGCTTGGTAATTGTTATAAAGATAATAGTCATTTTGGGCTACATTTCCATGCAAAAATCTTTTCAGATATTTAGGTAAAACCTTGTCAAATCGACTCTCTAAGCGATCACTACTTTTTGGCGCTGTTTTCGCGGAAAAGCAAACTTTTTGAGCACTTTTTGAGCTAGAATTCTTGGAGCGCAGATTAGCTTGTCAGGCAAATCAGGACTTTGCAAAAAGTTGAATTTGTGACCTAGTTTTGCTCGCCAAAAGCATTTTTGCAGGACCCGCTTATCGAACCGGCTCGTCCTTGTGCATGGTGGGCCTACATGCTGGTATACGGTATGCTATGCAATAGCTCGATAGCTTGGCTGCAGCTGCCTCTATGAATTTCGTGACAGACAGACAAACACACACACACACGCACAAAAAGACAGACGTTTAGCGCTTTATTATAAGTCATGATATTTAACCATCATTCTTATATCATGCCTGTATCAAATTCTCCTCTATATAAAATACGATTGTGTAGAATTTACTAGTGAATGACGCATTGATAGCTAATTTTACTTCATTGACAGTCTAGAGAGGTTAGTCAAGAAGTAGCAAAAAATCTTCCCTCAATATAAATTTCATGGCAAAAACATTTAGAGGTTTCAAAATAGTTTTTCTCCCAGTTTCTTGATGCCTTCTTTATTTGCCATGTTTTATTAGCAACAAAAAAACATGTGTATACTGAGTAAGTGACTAAACTTCTCCTAGTATAATAGTGAGGGACCAGTTCTCGTTGAACTGTAGTTATTATTTGTTGATACCGTCGCGACCTACCTCTAAATCCATACTGTAAGTTACGGAGAGTATTTTGCATTTTCCTAACCGAGGTGGCAGAGATGGTACAGGTACCTCTACTTTCATCCATTGTGATGTGGTACTTGAAGGAACCTAAATTTGTGTGCGATTTTGAATTTTACACAAAATACGAGATTGTAAGTTAACCTCTGGTTGATCCATTTTCAAAATTACCCGTGTGGTAGTCTTTACTTGCTCGTGACCAGCGAATGTCTTCGCTCTGTAATGTAGATAAACTTTTACAATTCTGCGAACGAAAATGCGAATCATGAGGAAACTTACTTGTATACAGTATTCTGTAGAAACTTCAAACATACCGACTTTGACCGGCTACTATTATTTATTACCCTGAAAAACAGGAATAGATTGAAGAAATGGGTCAAGTGAAAAACCGACCTATAAGAAACACTCATTTTCTCGCCTGGAGTGAACCCTGACTTCTCCAACTTCAGCTCGCCAGTTATCATTCCACTTGATCGGCAGCACCATGCTACCGTATGATTGGACTCGCTCGATGAGACCGGCTCATTCAGCTAAAATTAGTTTAAGGTTGAATATTCAAGTTTTACTCAGTTGTAATTGAAACGTCAATACGTGCAAACAGAGAGTTCTGATTTGGGAAACAATGAGAGTAAATTCTAAGTTATATTTAGTGGCTTATTGACTTTTCAACTTTTGCACGGTATAGAATGACTCTTTCGAAAATGTATGTAAGAACCAGAACTAGCTAAACTTGCCACATCGCCATATTTTTATCAGCATGAAAATGTACTTATTGTCAGCACCTTTACAAGTGTATGAAACTTACTCGAGCATCCGAATTAATATCCTCGATTCCTATTACGGTAAATGCTTTCCTTGTAACAATATCAAAATCCCATGGACGTTCGCAAATTGCCTGAAAAATTCCTATAATCATTTTTGCGAAATTTCTTGTGAGACCGCCCTTACGATGTATATTTTGGCAATTGCAAGCATTTCACTTTAGTGCCTAATACAACTTTTCCAATCTACGTCAACCATATGTCGACTTTGTTGCAAATCCAATACATTTCAGCTTTTCTTCAGTTTTATTCGGAGTCAGCTGTTTTGCAATAAGTCTAGTGGTGACGGAAGTGGTCAAAATAAAAATCTTGATAGATCATCTTACCAATGTTTGCTGCTGAGGATCAACTTGCGAATAGCAAAAAAACATCCAAGAATTTCGAAACTGTTTTTCGAAAAATTGCAATCCTTTCCATCCCCCCTCCCCCCGAATCCCGGGCATTTTCTGACCACTGTGTTAAACGGCTGAGTAGTTCAATGGTTGAATGTTTTCTCAGACCCATTTCCACCAGTCAAGGCCTTTCTAATCTAGGCGTATAACCCAAAAGGGGGAGCGGCAGAGACGGGGTGAAGATATTCAGCTTTTTCCTTAGGACACGTTTGTAGCAGAATTGATGCAAAAAGTGCTGGTTTCTATCAATGTCCTGTTTCTAGACATTTCCGAGAGAGTATAAGGGTCAAACAAGCTGAAAAAACTCAAAAAAAAGCTCAAGAAAGAAAAGGCTTGTTGGCCGGCACATTTCTTTTGAAAAGGATAAGCAAAGTTTCAACTGATTTGGTGTGCACACAACAACTTAAAAGTCATAATTTTTGTAAGTTTTTCATTCCAATAAATTCAAACTCACCCTACAAGTATATCGAATATGTCCGAATTCGCCTTCAAACGATGTCGGCAACGATTTTGGCAGTGTGTACGAGAATGGGATTTCGTGGACTCCAGCCGGTAGCACACGCTCCTGTTCGATGGAATATCTTTGTTTGCTATTTCGACGTTTTGCTGCTTTTACCGGAAATTATCGCGCATACATCAAGATTTCAGAATCTGTTGAATAAAAAGCGCTAACCTTTACTGTAAGTCAGCAGAGAAGCTAATGACAATCGAAAATGTTATTTAGTAGTTTTGCAGCGATTTCTCTACTATGAATAAGCTCACAAAATTACTTTCAATAGAAGCAAATCTGGTTTAGTACATGCTGCTACATATAACAGTCTTTGGAGCTTTAGGCTACATCTAGACTATTTTGAAGAATTAGTCAGAATGCAAGTAAAACCTTCTCCTTCCCATTCTTTGTCACGGAGAACTTATGTGTATAGGCAGTGTTAAACTGCTCCAAGAAATATGGTTCCGAGTGTGAGCAGTGCTTTCGGGACTTTCCTGAAATGCAAAATTTTACAAAAGCAAAGGAAATTAACTAAGACTCTGTTTATGGTATAAGATCTCTTAAGATGGTAAGTGGTAAAGATGAAGTGAGCTCTTACATGGAGATTCTGACGAGTTTGTCTAAAGAATAATAACTGGTTACTACTATGGTTTATAGTCCATCTTTAGAGCTAGGAAAAATCTGTGCTAATCAAGTGTCCCTACGAAGGGGTTTTGTGGACATTTATTTTCGATATTTTGATTCTATTCGAAAAAAATTTCAATATTAGAAGGAATATTGAACAACTCACCGGAATGTTTGGTCCAATATGTACGCGCTCGTCCTTTCAACTCTAATAAAATTTCGTTGACCTTCTTTGGCTCTTTGATATCGATAATGACCTGAACATTTCAAAGGATGAGTTTCATCTACCACTGAAAAATCAAATGATATTATTGTTTATTGTAGGTAAATCACGACAAATCTCGTAACCAGCATATATATATTTAATCATTTCTGCTAAATTTTTTTTGAGATTTCTGCAAATTGAACTTTGTGGAGAATCAGAACACAAAGGGTTTGAATTTGAAACCAGAAAATTACGATTACCTTTTTTTGTTGACAACATAAAATCGATAAGAACATAATTATCACACCTTTCCAGATATCTCCTGACCCGCAAAATATGCTTCTTCTGGATTATTCAGTAGTATCTCGAATCGGTCAATTTTTCCCATTATATAGAGATCGTTGTGAGCAAAGCTATGAATGACTCATGAGATCCTGAGTTAGCCTGATTTGCGAACAATATGTCTTCTGAAATGAAACGTTGAGGTAATATTTCGGAGTAAAAATGAACAGACGCAAACGAGAACATAAATTGTTATTTTTTGCAAAAAATTAGGTGAAAAGATTCATAGAGAAGAGGAATCGGAAATCAAGTAAATGAGGTTAACAACTTTGATAGCAAGTGAGATCTTGATTAATGAGGTACGTGAAAAGGTTTATGTATCGCGAATAATCGTTTACATTTGCTCAGGTGAGATTAAGACTAACAAAACTAGTGCGTCATATTAACGAAAAAGAATCCATCACTCAGAAAATCAATGGGTATAGGAAAACACAGACGTGACCGAAGGTACGTGAATGAAGATCAATGTTCAAGTAAATTGTCTTGTGAGACCATACGTTAGGTACAAATTCCAAAACAAAAGCTTATATTCAATTTCTCCTGCTTCTAAGCGGGAAGATGAAAATAGTTAGTCACTGCATATGTGCAAGCGTAGAATATAATCTCTTTCCTCAAGATAGCAGAAAAGTGAATCAGAAGAAGTAATTTTAGATAGGAATGATATCCACTTCTAATTCCATCAACAAAATCCGATGCACATCATTTCAAAGGATTTTGATTTGTAACCTCAAAAACAATAATCAGGTGTGTATGTTATCTACAAATAGCATAGGGAATGGTGGCACAACATCCATCTATCGTAAAAAAAATAATAGTTCGAAAAGCTTATTTCCAAACTTATCATCAGAAGTGACATCTAAATCGTGAAGGTCCAATCTCTTTCTACTCGGTTTTATCAAATTCTTTACAGTTTTCGTACTTTTGTTCGCTATGCATGCCCAGTGGCCGTATTCATCAACGAACCCTGAGGGTTAAGCTTACCCTCCAGGGTTAGTTTAACCCTCAGGGTTCATTGGCCGTATTCATCAACCATAGGCTAGGGTTTACCACGGAACGCGATCTACCCGTATCGATCAACGTCATCAACCCTGAGGGTTAAACTAACTGGAGGGTTAAGGCGTCAGTTACGCGTGCGCTGTGCAACTCACATCACAGAATGCCTAAGTACGGGCTAAATTCACTTTATACTTCTATTCTTTCACTGTTATAGTAGTATAGTCAACGAATAAGCTTCTAACAATAGTTTTTATAATACATCTCTAGCATACTTGTGTAGCATCCAATCTTACAGCGTGAGTTTATTTTCATGGTGCATTTGTGCGGTGTAAGTTCTACTTTTGTGCAGTTCGTTTTATACCGGGCTTGTGCTACTTTTTTGCTACTTTTGGGGGTCAATGCGTGTTATTATAAAGGGGTTCTTCTGTTTTGGCACTTGTCAGAGTAGTATGCCATTTTTCTTCGTCGCATTCATTTGTCACCAAAGCTAGAATTCTTTTCCTCGCGAAGTCAGTGTTTCATGTACTTCGAATATGAACATAAAACGATGTCGAAATTAAATACTATAACAACAACCAATACTAAATACTACAATACTCGTTGATCGTTTTCCATAAACTATTAGATGCGAGTAAATGTTTGTATGAAGTGTTAGGGTAGAGTTAACCTTGCTCTGAGCCAGGGTTAAATTAACCCTGATGAATCACGTAAGTTTAACCCTCTAGGGTAGTTTAACCCTCATGGTTCGTTGATGAATACGGGTTAGTCGCTTTCGGGGTAAAATTAACCCTCAAGGTTAAATCTAACCCTCAGGGTTAAGCCTACCCTGTGTTTCATGAATACGGGTTAAACGCTTTCCAGGGTTGAACTAACCCTCCAGGGTTAGTTTAACCCTCGGGGTTCGTTGATGAATACGGCCACAGGTTGTTAACTGTATATTGATAATATATCTTGCGTATTTTATTATATATATTTTAAGCTCAAGGATTCATTGATTCGGCGGCTTAGCTAAAAATGCTTGAAAACCATATAATCAGACGGACGTTAAGAAGAGTTCACTATCCTGTACAGCATTTGAGAAAATCTCAAAAATGATACCTAAGGCCCAACAGCAAACTTAATCTGTTTGAACCACTCACTAATTGACCCCAAGAAACCGGAAGGAAAAATTTTCCAGTTTCAAAACCGGTGACTAACACACAGAAGTGACGAACATCACAGTAACAAACCCTGACAGAAGGAATAATCTTTAGAGGCAGTGCCCAGGCTAAATCTAACCCCCTCCGCTTATTGCTCATTCTGAATGTAGGCCTCATGAGAGGAGCATCTGCATTGGTCCGGTTCCCTAATGTTGTCTCTGAATGGAGGTAATGGGCAGGAACAACCAAAGTCTATCAAGCCCCGCCCAAATCCTACAAGTTCCGCCCACTCATGTATTAAGCCGTATGCGCTCTTAAGACAGAGTCTCCAGGAACCGGGTTCTTTGGGGTTTTGGAAAATTTGAATTTTATAAATAACTTAATCAGGGCCACGGAAAGGCCACGGAATGGCGAAAACATGGGAGGCCAGTTTTGGGTGGACGCTGCATTTGGAATGTGGTATTAAGCAAAGTTGTAAGAGTAACAAATATTTCTATGGGAAAGCTGAAACGGAAAATTTCTGTTCGAATGTGAAACTACAGCAGCCAATGTTAATAACTGAGTAGAGGTGTGTGAGGGATTGTTACTGATGAGCCCATCGTAACAAACATGCTCAAAGCATTTGTTCATGTCATGCGATACAATCTCTTCTCGACTAGAACAAATGCTGATTTATTAGTCAGGAAACGAACAAGGATAGTAAAGCTCTGCAGGATGAAGTGAGTATTTTGTTGTGCTAAAAAAAGCTGAAATGCAGAAATTTGAATTAAGAAAAGCAAAAAATGCAAAATGCAGCAAAAAAATCAAACATGGCCAGCTGGAAAATTTGTTCTGTAAGTCACTGCAAGAAAAAGTGAAAATCACAAGCTTTTTGAATATCTATAAATTCATTTGTTACTCAAAAATCATCAGAAACCAACACTTCTATGAAGAAAGTCAATGATACACAATAAAAAGATTCAATCTACAACAGAAAAAACGCGCAAATTAGGATTTGCTTTATCCAATGTTCGTTCTGGCTAGAAAAACCTCGACGTAAAAAATCAGACGAAACTTCAATGAAGATGAAAATAGCACATTACAGGTTTCCGAAATTTCGATACCATAGAAAATTAACCAATGGAAATAGTCTCAACTGCTTTTCTGCGCGTTTGGGCATGAAAAAGCAAAAGAACTTTCATAGTGACTTATCATATGAGTTGCTTTGCAGTCTAAATTTTTATAGAACTACTAGCTGGCAAACCCGGCTCGGCCCGGGCCTGTCAATAATATATTGTAATCGGCATGCTCGATTACCCCCCTGTGCCAACTCTCAGCCCCTAGCTCAAATTTTGCAAAAAATCGATAAAATCGTTATCGATCGATAACGAAAAGTAGCCTATGACACGCTCCCTGCCCCGAAGTATATGTGTGCCAAGTTTGGTCCCGATCGGTTCAGAAATAAAAATTTCTATTCCGCACATACGTACAGACAGACATACAGACATACATACAGACAGACATTCAGCTTTATATATAAGATATTACCAAACTAAAAAATTTTATCGTTTTGCATTTTGATAAAATTTTGATTTTGATAAAATTTTTGAACAAACTTTAAGGAAAACAATCGTAAGAAAGCCGAGTGTGTGCTGCTTGTTGTAACACTCTCTTCCAGCTTTTAATGATTAGATGGAGTTCAAGGAGGAGAAGGAGAAGAAAGAACTCTATCACGCAAGTCGCGAAAACAGGAATTTCCACTGGTTTTTGGGTTCGATCAGCTGGAATCTTTTGAATACTTGGAAAACACTTCCACACTTTTAATATCCATTTCCAAGAAAGATGATAGTCATAATAGAAGCTTTTGTTATGCGTGGTAGGAAAATAAAGGTTTCAAAACCATTGGATTTTCGCGTTAAAGGAACGTTACTTTAGATAATTTTTTCGTCTGTTTTCTAGGAAGGAAAAACACGGATGAACCTTCGAATAATTAGCATCGAGATAACGGTATATAGCTGGTTTACGAGATTTACGACTATCCATAGAACCCATATAATAATTTTTTGCATTCATTAAAAGCCTCAGAGCCCCGACAGAAAAATTCAGAAACATGCATATGCAGAAAAGAAGGTGGTATCTGCTGGAAACCTATAGTGCAAAGTCATTATCGTCATTATTTACGTTCGTGTGCCGGTTCCAAGTATTACTGGTTGAACAATCGACAAAAACAAATGTTTTGAGTGGAAAGGAAGGTTCTGACAATCATACCCAGCCATTCGGTTTTGCAAATGGAAGGGTGGGGGAGAGCGACTAAAAATCTTATGCTTTTTGGAAAAAATTCTGCACGCTTTTTTTGTTGTATCTCAACTGCAATGAAAGAATAAGTAGATGAATATCTTTTTATAGTTTTGAAATTCACAAGATGAGGTGGGGTGGAGGAGGGACTGAAAGTAGATAACATGCCCTTGTTTATCAAGTTCTAAGGGATTTTTCAACATAATTTTGTGTTATTATAAGAAAAGGAGGGAAAGATGGAAGCAAAGCCCTTATGTGATGGTATTACAAAAAATACTGCGATATTAACTTTCAAGATTTGTCATATGGTATACTTGCCTTTTCAATCACTTAATGCCTGCCTTGTAGGGAACTCCTTCTTTCAAGGATTTTCCAAATATCACTCTCCCAGAAGGAGAGAGGGGGGGGGTAAACATTTAAAGCCGTTTTCGTGTGAGTTTGAACGCTTTCCTAAGAAAATGTCGATATTTGAGGTGTAAGAGGTGGAGGGGGGGGGGGAGATATAAACCCTTTCGTCAAAAAATTCCCAGTACTTTTCTTACAACTTATGCAAACATCTTACGAATATTATTTTATCATTTTTTGGAAGATTTTGATGTAGCCTATATAAAAAAGCGTCGCATTTCATGTGAAATTATGAGAGGACCTCAGAATATTGTTGGAACGGAGGAGGAGGAAGGAACAGAAAAACAGAAGACTGAATGCACAGCACTATACTGCGA